AATAGTTTTAAATTTTAAAACTATTCACCATTCACAAAAATAAATTGCAATAGAAATGTACATTTAAATATGAATGGTAAAAAGTAAACCTTAATAAATTATTTTTATGATCTGCAGTTAAGGAAACTATAAAATAACTATAATAACTATAATATATAAATAACTATGATCACCATGCCAACGGCTCTAATGGAAAAAGTGGACAACTCGTACATTACCCACCCGCAAGAATGGATGGATAATGTAACAGAGAGATGGAAACTCTAAGTATCCCAAGAAAGTGACTAGAAATAAAAAACATTAAAGAAATAAATAATGCCTTTGATGGGCTCATCAGTAGATTGGACACAGTTGAGAAAAGAATCTGATCTGTGAGCTTGAAGATATGTCACTAGAAATCCCCCAAACTGAAAAGCAAAGAGAAATAAGAATGAAACAGAACAGAGTATCTAAGAACTGTAGAACAATTGTAAAACTGTAATCATACTTGTAATGGGGATACAAAAGGACAAGAAAGAAGGAATATATGGAGTAATAATGGCTGAGAATTTTCCAAAATTAAATGACACCAAACCACAACCAGGAAGCTCAAATAATAGTAAGCAGACAAATGCCAGGAAAATCTACGCTTAGGCATATCATATCCAAACTGCAGAAAAATCAAAGACACAGAAAATCTTGAATTGAAAGAAGCCAGGTGGGGGAATACACCTTATTTATCTAAAACGAAGGTAAGGTTTTCATGAGACTTCTCTGCAAAAACCTACCAACTAGAGTTGTGTCCAGCAGAATATACTTGGAAGGAAGGAAGGAAGGAAGGAAGGAAGGAAGGAAGGAAGGAAGGAAGGAAGGAAGGAAAACCTGGACAAACAAAAACTGAGGGGTGATGTCACCAGTATATCTGCCTGTCAAGAAATGTTAAAAGTTTTTCAGGAGAAAGGAAATTGATATAGGTAAGAAACTAAGATACACATGAAGAAAGGAAGAGCATTAGATAAGGAAAAAATGGACTTCTCAATTCACATTTTGGTGCCAAGCACATACCTGGATCCCCAGGGCCCATGCTGAATGATATTGACATGGAGCATGATGGCTCTGTTGGCTTAAAAAAAGAAAGAAGACTTGCTTTCGTGACCCACAGCTGCAACCTCCACATTTAAAGATACTGCAATGGACATAGCAAGTTCTCTGACTCATAGAAGGGAGAAATCTACTCCAAAGACTCTGGGCAAAATTTGTAAATAAGAAGTAAAAATATGATGAAAGCAATATCCCCCTCAGCTTTATGGAGGTTTATAATGTACCTTATTGTGTCTAATGCCACACAATATTTCCCTACAGTGTTAAAGAAAAACCAATTTGGAAGGAAAAAAAAAAGAACCGGATCTGGACAGTAGTAGTTAAAGTAGTTAGAATAGGTTTTATTCAGAAACTATTGCAGTAGGGAAGAAAGAAGCCTCCATAGAGAACAGGACCCCATCCCCAGGACAGTACAAAATGGGGATTTATAGCCAAAGAGCAGGGTCATGGTCAAGGGATGGAAAATTACTGAGAAAACCTCAGAAATAGAAAGATTCTAGTTAAACAGACCTGACAGGATTCTTGGCAGAAGGCAGGCCAGGGTAGTCAGATGCTGTGCAAGGGAAAACCCAGTCTTTCCACTCAGGAGTCTTTCTCCTGTGACTCTGTCTCCCTTACTACTCACACAAAACACTTCAATTCCGGTCACCCAATGTGTGGGTTTTTTCCCTACATGAAGCAATTCTCTATGACACCAGATGGATATGATACTACAATTCAATTCAATTCTAACATTATCTTTCTAGAGCTAGCATCAGGTTCCACAGGTCAAGGGCTCAGTGCCACAAAGCAGCACCCTCCCATCCTCCCTTTTCAGACGGCAATCTAGGTCCAGGTTACCACCTCTGCTTCTGACTGATCAGCTCTAGAGTGGAAGTTCCAACAACCCCCTCCTTAGGTTCAATTTATCTGCTAGAGTGGCTCACAGAGCTCAGGAAACACTTGCATTTTTACCACTTCATTAAAGGATGTGATAAAGAATACCTGAATAGTTAGATGAAGAGATACACTGGGTGAGGTCTGGGAGGGTACTGAGCACAGGAGTTTGTCCCCATGGAGTTGGGGTGCATCACCCTCCCAGGGTGGATGTGTTCATCCATGTGGAAACTCTCTAAAACTCCATACTATTGGGATTTTTATAGAGGCTTCCTCATGTAAGCATGACAGATCATTAACACCACTTCCAGCCCCTTTCCCCTCTCTGGAGGATTGGTGTGTGTGTGTGTGTGTGTGTGTGTGTGTGTAGCTGAATATTCCAAGCTCTAATCATGGCTTGGTCTTTCTGATGACAGTCTCCATCCAGGAGTCATCCAGAGTTCCCTCATTAGAACAAGACATTCCAAAAAAAACAAAACAAAAAAAAAAAAAAAAAAAAAAAGAACAAGACATTCCTACCTCCCAGGAAATTCCAGGGGATTTAGGGGCCCTGTGTCAGGAGCTCAAGTTAAAGACCAAATATTAGAACAAGAGTTGCTCCTAGGGCTCTGAACCCTTCAGAAATTACAAGGGTTTCAGGAGCCTATGTCAGAAACTGGGGGCAGCAACCGATACATATATTCTATTTTCTCACAGATACCAAAGCAGGAGAGATGAAGAATATTATCAGATATTGAGGGTGAAGAGTTATCTCTAAACTGACTTGGCAAGATTCTTGCTACAATTGCGTGGTACAGACAGACAAGAACACACTGCAGGGTCCAGGCCTAGAGAATGACTAAAGTTAATCAAGGAGAGTCATTACCAATAGCTATTGTAAAGACAGTTAAATTGTGATATCATTTTGACACTGATCATCCACAGTTTCAAGAAAAAGGAATTGAATTATTTTAAGGCTCGACATCCTGGCTTTCTTTAAACACCAAAAATTAGTACAGATTTCCAAACTAGACATGAAAAGGTCACCAAAGCATCCTTCAGGTTTTAACTTTTAGTAAGGTAAATATCAACCACTATAAGCCACATAAACATAAAGGCCTTTGGGGGTGTCCCCGCCCCCTTTATTAAGAGTAAAGGGTTCCTGGGCAGCCCTGGTGGCTGAGTGGTTTAGCACTGCCTTCAGTCCAGGGCGTGATCCTGGAGACCTGGGATCGAGTCCCATGTCGGGCTCCCTGCATGGAGCCTGCTTCTCCCTCTGCCTTGTGTCTCTGCCTCTCTCTCTCTCTCTCTCTCTGAGTAAATAAATAATCTTAGAAAAAAAAAGAGAGAGTGAGAGAGTAAAGGGTTCCTGAGACCCAAGTGAGAAAACCATTGTGAATTATCCTTAATGTTAACAGGTCTATTTCTTATACTGACTTCAAGAGCCATCAGGAGAGAATCCTAAGCACCTCTCTGCATAAGCCCTACATCTTTTTGGTTCTTTTATGCCAGAGACCTGGTGTTTGGTGAGCCGAGGGACTTTTGACCACAATTAGCTTTTTCCCTCTTTGTTCTCTTATTTGTTTCTTTCCTCTCATCTTTATGTAGTTTGTTAGTACTGTTAGGGGGCAATTGTAGTTAGTATTGCTAGCAGTAAATCACTGAGCTGCAGGACCTAGCAGCCATCCCGGCAACCAGGAGACTCACGTTGACAACTACCAGCCCCTCGAGACTACCAGCCAGGGGCACCTTTGCCAAGGTGAGGTTGGTCTGGCACAGTCTGAGTGGGTCAGAGGCGTCCATAAAGGTCATTAACAAGAGTCAGCAGAGCTCCTCCAGCCTCCATAGACTATTCCTTGAAGTCCAGAGCGTGAAGGCCCTGAATCACCACCCTCGAGTCATGAAACTACATGAGGTGATGGACACCATGGAAATGCTCCACCTGGTCACAGAGTACACTATAGGCACTTGCTTACCCACTGGACCACACGTGTGTGAAAGGAGGAGCCCCCAGGCAGATTCTGTCAGATGGTGTCCACTGTGTAGTACCATCACCATAGGGTATCGTCCACAGGGACCTAAAGCCAGAGAACCTGCTTTTGGAGGCTGACCTGAACATCAAGGTTGCAGACTTTGCCTTTAGCAATGAGTTCACTGTCGGCCATAAGCTGAACACCTTCTGTGGTAGCCCCCCCTCATGCCTACGTACAACAGTCTCGCAGTGGATGTGTGGAGCCTGGAACCATCCTCTATACAATGACTGTCCAGTGAGCAGCAGGTCCCTGGCCTTTATAGGACTTCAGAGAGATGTAGCAGTGGGTACTGAGCAGAATATACCACATTCCCCTTTATATGTCTGTGGAGTGTGAAAACCTACTAGAGAAATTCCTGACCCTCAATCCCAGGGAGAGAAGCGCTTTGAAGGAACCATGAAAGGACCCACGGATGAACATGGTCCATGAAGAGGAACTAAAGCCTTACATTGAGCCACTTCCTGACTACAAGGACCCCCGGCAGAACTGAGGTGACATTACCCATGGGCCACGGGTGGGACAAGATCCAGAACCTGTTGATGAGCTGGAATTATGAAGTGATGGCCAACTACCTGATCCTAGGCTGCAAGAGCCCCAAGGAGAAGGGGTAAACCACTGCTGTGACGCTCCTGCCTTCAGCTGATCCTACCAACAGCTGTTGTCCTTCCCCATCCTATATGCTTCAGCCTAGGGTCTCTGCCAATGCAAAGAAATGCAGTTTTGTTGAGCCTGTCATCCCCCCCCCCCCTCGCCTTGTTGTGTCTCGTAACTCAGAAAGTCAGCAGCTTGGGGAGGACTGGGAATCAGTCAAAGGCCAGCAGCCCAGCCAAAGGGCCTGCCAGTCTCCCACCATGCCTGGAGACAAGGACCAGCCCATTCCCCAGCACAGGCCCTCATGTGGGCCTGGGGCTGCCCTGCCACCCAAAGCCTCAGTAGCAGTGGTAGAGGCCCATATGGAACCAGCTGCTCCCTACCCTGGGTTTATCCTACACTGGAAACTCCCTCTGTGCTGGATGACCTGGTGATGGGAGCCCAGCCTTTCCTTTTGGCAAGAGCCAGGGCTGACATGGCGGCTGTTGGGAGCTTCTTCAACTTCCTACTCAGACAGACACCCATGTTTCAGGCTGCCTAGAAAGAACTTGTGGGGCCCCTAAAACACATTGAGGGCAGCCTGGGTGGCTCAGCAGTTTAGCGCTGCCTTCAGCCCAGGGTGTGATTCTGGAGACCTGGGATCGAGTCCCATGTTGGACTCCCTGCACAGAGCCTGCTTCTCCCTCTGCCCATGTCTCTGCCTCTCTGTTTATCTCTCATTAATAAATAAAATCTTAAAAAAAAACCCACAGTGAAGCCAATGAAAGCTCATGGTTGATAGCCAAGGCAGGCTAAAACCAAAGACTGCTTTTAAAAGAGGGAGCAATGTGCTCGCATATACTAAAAGAGCAAGAAGATCCTGAGTTCCACAGAGCCCAGGGACAGGTGTGGGAGCCAGGACAGGGCTGAGGCGACAGCTGCAGGGGTGGGAGTGGTGCAAGGAGCTTACAGCACATGTGCAGGGACACCTAAAATGAGGACTGCGTGCAGGGGAGGATAGCAAGTGCAGACTGCCAAGGTGCTCTGCATGGGATTCAAATCAAGGGAGTACCTGCACTTCTACAGCTTTCAAAAGCATTGAATCCAAAATGCTGGTGAGCTTAAAGGATGGCTGGGAGCCACCAAGGAGATAAAAGGAGAGGCTGGCCCTTTGTCCCAACCTGGATGAATCTTCAGAGGCTGGACTGTTGTCCTGGGGTACTTCTCCTCTCCTGCTCTTCTCTCTCTTCCTCCATGTTTATCAGGGAGGGGAGATACTGCTGCAGAAATAAACACAAAAAACCACATTTAATGAGGAAGCATTTAACATCTAATTTCTGAGTCACTTTTAATTTTCTTCAAAGATCGTATTTATTCATTTATTTATGAGAGAGAGAGAGAGAGAGAGAGAGAGAGAGAGAGAGAGAGAGAGAGAGGAGACGCAGAGATATACGCAGAGGGAGAAGCAGGCTCCTCAGGAAGCCCTATGCAGGATTCAATCCCAGGACTCCGTGATCACGCCCTGAGATGAAGGTAGATGCTCAACCACTGAGCCACCCAGGTGTCTCCGCTGAGTCACTTTTAAAGCTGGATTGTGGGAGGTGATTATTGATTTGACTGGTTCTCATTGATGTTTGTCTTACAGAACACAGGGTTGTCATTCCCTTGAGCAGGTTTGATAATAGTGATATTAACATCAACAAATAACAGTAGCATTTACTAGTGGCCACAGACGCTCTAGACCATTTCAATTCCTTTTAGGTACAACTGCCTATTTAACAGACTAGTAAATGAATGTTGAGTGGGGTTAAGTGCTTTGTACAATCACGGAGCAGGTGAGTGGCAAAGCTTGTGTCAGGAGCTTGTGCTTTGAGCCCCAGCTCTGTGGCCTCCCGTGGCTCCAGTCTGGGGCCTCTGTAGTCCTGGTTTTGACACCCTTTCAAGGTTGTTACACTGTGTCTCTGAATTAATGGATAATTCAGTAATATAAGAAATGAGACAACCAACCACTTGGGTAGTAATCTTCAGAGCTCTGGGTGAATTAACCTGTCTGCAGTCCCCTAAATCCTTCTTTGCATAAGTAGGACACAGTTCTGAGTATACACTCTACCTCAAAAATGTAAGGAAGAAAGATGAAGCTGCTTAGAGTGCTGGAAACACTAAGGTTTCTAGATCTTGAGGGACAATGCCTTATAGGTCCTTTAGCAATGAAGTGCCCCCCCACCCCACCCCATGTTAGAGCCTGATCCAGATCTAAACGGATCTAGGGTGGTGCCCAGCAGGGTGGCCTTAACTCTCTTCTACCTCATGTTGAAATCTTAGGAGCTAGAGAGCAGATGAAGAGTGATGGCTTTCAGATGAACTCTCATGTATTTATTTTTAAAGATTTTATTTACATAAGAGAGAGAGAGAGAGAGAGAGAGAGAGAGAGAGAGAGAGAGAATGCATGTGCGAGCCAGTTGAGGGGAGGGGCAAAGGGAACAGGAGAAGGAGAAGGAGAATCAGGTTCTCCTTTGAGCAAGGGGCCCAATGCCAGGCTGGATCCCAACACCTTGGGATCATAACCTGACCTGAAGGCAGATGCTTAATCAACTGAGCCATCCAGGTGCCCCAAACTCTTGTGTATTTAAAATTCACTTACTAGAGTCAAGAGCCCCTTTTCCTATCCCAATCCTTTTTATTCGTGTACAAATTAATTAGAACTTGTCTGAACTGCTCACTCACCCCAGAACTGCTGGGTCACATCTCTGCCCTGGGGGATCTGCCACAGTGTGTTCTGGGCCTCTGTCCTCTCAGGCACAGGGAACAGACTTCTCATTTATGGTCAGATTTGAGCCTTTTCCAGAGTCACTCTGCTTCCAGAGTCACAGTGGTGAGGCCACTGAAGAGCTTTGGAAGGGTCCTTGATTGAAAATTTGATGGCAATTCTTTTTTTGGCACATCCTCTAGGTCAAGGTACAATCCTCTGGCATGGGCCTTTGTGACTATCAGAGTGCCTGGGACATACCAGTGCTCCACAAATAGTGCTTTTCCTCTTTACTGGAAGGGAGTTACAAGGAAAGAATTGCAGGGAAATTTTGGAAGACAGAGACAGACAACTAGGTATAACTGATGCGAGGGTCAGGAATGTTTTGCGGACAAGGCAGATTTGGAGCTGAGGCCCACCAGAACTGCTGGGACGCTGAGTCCTCGTGTGAGATGGGTCACATATTCTTCTGAGGACTGCCATTTTTTCCCCTACTGCAGCTGCTGTGTCAGTTTCCAAGCTGTCTGCTGTTGGGAGGGCCTCAGCTTGTACACAACACAGATCCATTGGTGGTAGTCGCCTGGAGCCCTGGCTGGAAAGGATCTGGAAGTCAAGGTCAGACTCAGCAGGGGGGAGTCCTGCTTGTCAGGCACCCATAAGAGTTACAGTTCCTAGAACTGCCTTCACTGTTGCTCCCACTTGTAATGAGATGATGTTAAAGGACTCCAAGGAAAAAAAAAAAAAAAAGACTCCAAGACTGAGGATCCCTGGGTGGCTCAGTGGTTTAGCACCTGCCTTTGGCCCAAGGCATAATCCTGGAGACCTGGGATCGAGTTCCACATCGAGCTCCCTGCATGGAGCCTGTTGCTCCCCCTGCCTGTGTCTCTGCCTCTCTGTGTCTCTCATGAATAAAAAATAAAATCTTTTTTTTTTAAAAAAAAAAAAGGACTCCAGGGCAGAGCCAGGACAATGAACATAACCCAGTCACGACAGGAGCTGCTGGGTCAGAGAGCTCTCTGATCATCACTGCATATACCTGGGTATGATAGCTTTGCAAGCCCCTGTATTCCTGATATTTCTAATTTTATTGCATTATGGCCCAAAAATGTAATGTATTAAATGTTTGTCCTTTTTATATTTACTAAATATATACTTCTGTTTCCAAAGTATAATCCGAAGGTATTTCTATTTCTTTGTAAATTGTCTTGGTTTCTAAAAAAATTCACTTTGTTATTTGTTAATATATTCTTTTGGGTAGATACATAAAGGTCAGTTATATTTTCATTGTTTTGTATATTTGTGTGTTTTAAATCATTGGGGCCTTTCATTCTCTCTGAAGATTTTTCCTTCCATGCAGAGAGAGAGAGGGAGGCAGAGACACAGGCAGAAGGAGAAGCAGGCTCCATGCAGGGAGCGTGACGTGGGACTCGATCCTGGGTCTCCAGGATCAGGCCCTGGACTGAAGGCAGCGCTAAACCACTGGGCCACAGGGGCTGCCAGGATTTAATTTTTAATACCCAGATTGGAGCGCCTGGGTGGCTCAGTCGGTTGAGCATCTGCCTTCGGCTCAGGTCATGATCCAAGGGTCCTGGGATTGGGCTCCCTGCTCAGCAAGGAGTCTGCTTCTACCTCTCCCTCTGCCCCTCCTCCCTGTGTTGTCTCAAATAAATCTTAAAAAAATACCCAAATTGCATAGCAGTTATTTCTCTCTCAACATTTTTAGCTGATTATATATATATATATATATATATATATATATATATATATAGAGAGAGAGAGAGAGAGAGAGAGAGAGAGAGAGAGAGGGAGTTTGAGTCTTCAAAAAATACATTTTAAACGAGGAAAAGGGATGCCTGGGTGGCTCAGTGGTTGAGCGTCTGCCTTCAGCTCAGGACATGATCCCGGGGAATTGGGACAGAGTCCCTGCATTGGGCTCCCTATGGGGAGCCTGCTTCTCCCTCTGCCTATGTCTCTGCCTCTCTCTGTGTCTCTCATGAATAAATAGATAATTTTAAAGAAACGAGGAAAAGTTTCTTGTTGCTTTCAAATACAATCAGCAGACCATCAATCACACTAGTCACTCTGCAAATGTGTTGGCAAGATGTATAATATCTGATGCTGCTGGTCTACAAGAGGCCACTGCCACTGCACAAAAAGCAATTATATGCTAATGGCTCCATTATTTTTTAATTTAATTTTTAAAGTATGATGTGGAGAACAAAGGCAAAAGAAATCTAGAAAAAAATTAAATCTCCTCACAACTTGCAGCCCATTGACAAGCCTTTGAGATAGCCAGAGTGACCTTCCTCTAAGAACTCAGTTCAATACTTGGCTAGAAGCAATACATAATCTTAGCTTAACATTAGCCCAATCTCCAGGATCTTCTAAGTCTTCTTAACACATAAAAATTCCTTTGGAGACAGCCCACGTGGCTCAGCGGTTTAGTGCTGCCTTCAGCCTGGGGCCTGATCCTGGAGACCCAGGATTGAGTCCTATGTCGGACTCCCTGCATGGAGCCTGCTCCTTCTGCCTGTGTCTCACCTCTCTCTCTCTCTGTGTCTCTCATGAATAAATAAAATCTTTTAAAAAAATTCCTTTGGAAACTTCATCTTTGCCCTCACTCCCACCAAGATATATGTCAGCAATCATCCTCCAAGCATATGGCCCACTGATATATATCTGATGAGTCTCATGACAAAAGTTTACTAGACAGTAGTAAATGCCCTTTTCCTAATAACAGCTAACCCCTCAAGGTCCTGGAAACCTGACTTCCAAATACCTTAGAGACTCAAGCTACCCCATAACCCCCTCCCAACTTACAAGTATATAATCGGCCACTCCTCACCATCCCAGTGCAGTTCTGCTCAAGGGCTCTGTCCCCTGTGCTTTAATAAAGTCACCCCCTTTTTTTAAAAAAAGATTTCATTTATTTATTCATGAGAGACAGAGAGAGAGAGAGAGAGAGAGAGAGAGAGAGAGAGAGAGAGGCAGAGATATAGGCAGAGGGAGAAGCAGGTTCCATGCAAGGAGCCCGATGTGGGACGCGATCCCAGTACTCCAGGATCACATCCTGAGCCAAAGGCAGACGCTTAACCACTGAGCCACCCAGGGATCCCAATAAAGCCACTCTTTTTGAATCAAAGATGCCTCAAGAATTCTTTCTTGACCGTTCACTCTGAACCCCAACATTTTCACATCAAGTAAATTCTATTCCCAACATGGGGCTTGAACTCACGACCCTCAAGAATTGCAAGCTATAGTGACTGAGCCAGCAGACACTGAAAAATTGTTAGGATTTTTTGATGGACTTGCTATACCTTACAATTTTTTTTTCTATTTAAAATAATAGGAGGGCACCTGGGTGGCTCAGTTGGTTAAGCGTCTGCCTTCAGCTTGGGTCATGTGATCTGGGGTCCTGGGATCAAGTCCCATGTCTGACTTAGCGGGGAGTCTGTTTCTCCCTCTGACTCTCCCTTTGTGCTCTCCCTCTCTCAAATAAAATAAATTAAAAATCAATAAATAGGGATGCCTGGGTGGCTCAGCGGTTGAGCGTTTGCCTTCTGGCTCAGGCCGTGATCCTGGTGTACGTGGATGGAGTCCTGCATTAGGCTCCGTGCATGGAGCCTGCTTCTCCTGCCTGTGTCTCTGCCTCTCTCTCTCTGTGTCTCTCATGAATAAATGAAATCTTAAAAAAATAAAATAAAATAAATAAATAGTGGGAACTAAGGTCTCCTTAGAGTTTCTTCTAAGAGAAAGTCTTGACATTTCAGGCATATACTATCAATCTAACAATCACCAGTGGCATATAACTTTCCAGCTTTGTCTTAGTTTTAAGTTTTTGATTACCTACCTTGGAAATTACTTAACTTCATTTCTTCCAATTCTTGTAGAATTGCTGCTCCAGAAAGTAGGACCATGGATATTTTGCTCTTTTGCATCCTCCCTGCACAGAATTGGAACTGTGCATAAGTGAGTTCAAGACTGTGTGTAGGGACTTAGTAACTGAGAGCTATCTAATCAGAAAAAATAAATGGACAAAATGACTTAGGAAAAATATCACTATCACCCCCGAAGGCAACAAATTGTTTAATTATTCTGTGGTTCTGAAGGAATATTTAAAAAGGGATATGTAAAGGGGTTCCAAAGGAGCCAGACTGTAGGGTAGAAAATGTTATGCTATCTTCCTCCATAAACTTCCCTGACGTTTTGGGAAGGACCAAAGGGAACTTGTAGTCCTGCCGGCCTGTGTGAGCGAGGCCAAGAGGGCCACTATAAGGAGCCCTGTCAACCAGCCCCTGCGGGGGGGAGTTAGAGTCATAGCTTGGGTGTGGTCCCCCAAGGGGATTAGGAGGTCACTGACCTGCCCGCCTGAGTTTCCCATCTGTACCATGCAGCTTGGGGCCTCTCCACTGTCATGTTTCTCCTTTGCACAACACCGCACTGTGCAGTCCCTCTAAGAGGCCTGATGAAGTGTGGACTGTTCAGCCAGCCCAGGGGTGCAAGAGTTGCTCTGCGGCCACACCGCCAACAGCCCATGGGGATGATTTGGGCAGCCCCCAAGGACAGAAGTGACGGCGGGAAAGGTGGCTTTGAAAAGGCAAGCTCCAGGTTCCCAGGTACCAGTATTTCCATTGCAGCCGGTGAGTTTACGTTTCAAATAACGGCTTAGGAGCTTCCGCGCGGATTCCAAGCGGCCACACCAACCGCCAGGTCCGCGCGGGCCGCTAGTTCCACCCCCAAGCCAGGTGGCCTCAACCTGCGCGGCCCGGCGGCACTGCGCATGTCCGAGGGGGCGTGGCTCGGAGGCCTTGGCGAGAAGAGGCGGGGAGCGAGGCGGTGGGAAGGGCGGGGCGTGCTGAGCCCCGAGGCCCGGCTGTATCCACAAGGCCCGCTCGCCGCAGGCTGTCAGATGTGCGCTGCGGCACTTGCTCGACTAGAAACCCGGCTTTGGCCACAAGTCGCGCCATGGGCAATTCGTGAAGATGCACTCTTACGATTACAGCGCCAGCCAGGATGTCAGGGGCGGGCCGGGCCGTGTTTCTGGGAGCGGGGCTCGGAGGACGTCGGCGCTCCGCCCCGGGAGCTCGGGGGCGGGGTTAGGGGCGGGGACTATCTCCCGGGCATGCTGGGAACTGTAGTCTCTTAGTCGTTCCCAGCCTGGGGCTTACAGGGCGGCAGGACTACAACTCCAAGGATGTGCTGGGCGCTGGGTGCTCACCGTGGTTCAGCATCTTCTGTTTAGATTTTGTGGCTCTGACACTTTGCCTATCCCATTCCCATTCCTATCTGCTGCACTGATTGCTTTGTTGTTGTTTCCTAGGAGCCATTTGGTTGTTTCTGTATCTTGCAGTGTTTTTAGGGATTCCACCCTCATTACATAAATCAATATGTGCAATAAATAGAATAGCTACCTACTTGTATCTCTCACGTTTGTCCTCTCCAATGGAGCTGTGAAGAATCCTAGTTACTTGTAGCTCCTCATTCTCATGCAGTCACTTACAAAGCTGAGCATCTCTTCTTTGGTCTCATTGATATTATTTTTTTCTTTTTTTTTCCTATTAATTTATTTTTTTAAAAATTTTTATTTATTTATGATAGTCACAGAGAGAGAGAGAGAGAGAGAGGCAGAGACACAGGCAGAGGGAGAAGCAGGCTCCATGCACCGGGAGCCCGACGTGGGACTCGATCCCGGGTCTCCAGGATCGCGCCCTGGGCCAAAGGCAGGTGCCAAACCTCTGCGCCACCCAGGGATCCCCTGATATTATTTTTTTCATCTATTTTGAAATATATTCTGCTGATAACATGGACACTGGCTGGCATTTTTACATATCTAACATCTCTGTGAAGGAGGCCTGTGGTCCCCATTTTACAGGTGAGGAAACTGAGGCTAAGAAGGGTTGAGTAGCTTCCTAAACTTCACACGATCTCTTGGCACATTTTCAATCTTAACGTGGAACTCTGTCTCTCAGGTGTATACACTCTGTGAAAGAAGATGAGTGTTTACAGAATTTTGGCACAAGGTGCTGAAAGCAAATGATTTTAATTTGAATATACCTTTGTACAACTTCTTTCTATCTTACTTCAACCACCCAGATTCATGTAACTCTCAAAAATGCATTGGGTAGTTTCAGGGATTCACAAAACTTTTCTTTTTTTAAACAACATTTGCATGGCTTTCATGGTGTTTTAAGTGAAGAATCGATGATGATATTGAAAATAAATGATGATGATGTTAAACTTTGCCAATTATCAAGTACAGAAATACCAGCTAACTTACTACTGAGCAGGTGGAGAGATCTACAGTGCCTGGTGCTGCTGAGCAGTGAGCTCTGGGAAGGTGAGAGGTGCCCTGCAGTGCTGGCAGCTCCTCCACTGGCTGGGCACTGTCTTCGTAAAACTGGCCTGTGTATATGTGAGCACCTGGATCTTGTAGGGCTCTGGATGGCTTCTTGTATTGTTTTCTTAAGATTTTATTTACTCATTCATGAGACACACACACACACACACACACACACAGAGGCAGAGACACAGGCAGAAGGAGAAGCAGGCTCCACACACGGATCCCAACGCGGGACTCCATCCCAGGTCTCCAGGATCACACCCTGGGCTGAAGGCAGCACTAAACCGCTAAGCCACTGGGGCTGCCCCAGGTTCTTGTTTTTAATAATAGTTTAATAGTTTGAAAGTGATCATGTGATAGTATAAGTGTATTTTCTTTCCTTTGTTTAAGCGTGCCTGTGTGTGACAGACATAATGAGCCTAATAATTTCATATGAACCCATGGTTGTTCTCAACTAAGGACAGTGGTGGAAAAAAAAACAATTTGTGTATAATCACTGGCTTCATACTTCATACAGAGAAGACATATTTCCTATTGGAACAGCTGGTGAGACCTCTTGCCTTTTATATCTTGTTTGTCTGTTCTAATGTGATATTTTATTTTACTTTTTTAATTTTTATGTACTTATGATAGTCAGAGAGATAGAGATAAAGATAGATAGAGAGAGAGAGAGAGAGAGAGAGAGAGAGAGGCAGAGACACAGGCAGAGGGAGAAGCAGGCTTCATGCACCGGGAGCCCGACGTGGGATTCGATCCCGGGTCTCCAGGATCGTGCCCTGGGCCAAAGGCAGGCACTAAACTGCTGCGCCACCCAGGGATCCCCTCTAATGTGATATTTTAGGGGCAATGCTAATGGTTCAAATTGCAGGGCTCCCATTTTTTCCTTGTTTGGGCTTAAGATGTAACATTTTTATCTTTTTAAAAAAATTATTATTCATGAAAGAGAGAGACAGGCAGAGGGAGAAGCAGGCTCCATGTAGGGAGCCCGACGTGGGACTCAATCCTGGGTCTCCAGGGTCAGGCCCTGGGCTGATGGCGGTGCCAAACTGTTGAGCTACCCAGGCTGCCCACATTTTTATCTTAAATGGCAAAAATATCTTTGTTGATGAAAAAATCCTATTGCCAAATACTTGTACATTAGGAAAAAAGCAGAGCTCAAATATACTTATTAAAAACAAACTGCTTGCTTTTCTTGTTCTGTTCCCCCAGATCTTTTTTTCCAAAAGAGAATTTTCCTTCTTTTTTTTTTTTAAGATTTATTTATTTATTCCTGAGAGACCCAGAGAGAGAGAGGGAGAGACACAGGCAGGGGGCAAAGCAGGCTCCCCGCAGAGAGGCCGATGTGGGACTGGATCCTGGATCCTGGGATCACTCCCTGAGCCGAAGGCAGACGCTCAACCGCTGAGCCACCCAGGCACTCTCCCCCCGAACATCATTTTTGTGCACCTAAGTATCACTTAAGAAAATAGCAATATTCTATAGAAAAATCATGGTAGGTTTTAAATATTAGAGTTCTGCAGAATATTTCATTTTTTAAAATTTTTATTTATTTATGATAGTCACACACACAGAGAGAGAGAGAGAGAGAGAGGCAGAGACACAGGCAGAGGGAGAAGCAGGCTCCATGTAGGGAGCCCAATGCAGGACTCGATCCCAGGACTCCAGGATCACACCCTGGGCCAAAGGCAGGTGCTAGACTGCTGAGCCACCCAGGGATCCCCTGTTCTTTTTTTTTTTTTTTTAAGATTTTAAAATAAAATAAAATAAAATAAAATAAAAATAAAAAATAAAGATTTTATTTATTTATTCATGAGAAACACAGAGAGAGGCAGAGACAGAGGCAGAGGGAGAAGCAGGCTCCCTGCAAGGAGCCTGATGTGGGACTCGATCCTGGGACTCCAGGATCACGCCCCGAGCTGAAGGCAGACGCTCAACCGCTGAGCCACCCAGGCGTCCCGGGATCTCCTGTTCTAAAAGATTTCTAACTTGAAGTATTTCTAACTTTCTAACCAAAGAGCGTTTGATGATACCAGTACAATAGTGTGTTGCTGAATCCTTCTAAGGCTTTTAGCAACAATCCTTTTTCTCTTAAACATCAACATCTCCTCTATCAGATCTTTCACCCATCTGTGTTTAGAAACAATGGCCAATCTCCTCTACCCTCAGAAATCCTCCATAATCTTCCCTTCTTCTCAGCTACTGGCTTTGTTCTCATGCCCATCACAGACTCACTGGGTCTATGCTTGCTATCTCTACATTTCCCTCTGCCTGTCATTCCTCAACCCATTTGGGGCTAGAGTCAACATGGCCAGATAACTCCTTGAATCTAGAAAAATGGATCATGGATGATTCTGAACCATTGACCTTGGTACTCAGGAGAGGGCATCCACAGCGGAGTGTGAAGTAGCTAGTGGAGGAGGAGAGGGAGAGAAATGTGGTTTTATCCATGATAATCATTCATGTGACCATGCTACAGAGCCCAGGTGTGAGGGCAGAAGAAATCAGGGCTGGAGATAAATACTTGGGGGTCAGGGCCTAGAAATAATAGCTGAACCAAGAGATAAGAGCTCCACAGTTACGAATGCTTCTCTGTACTCCAGAATTTTCTGATTCTAGGATAATCACAAATCCCATACTCATTCTTTTTTTTTTTTTTTTAAGATTTCATTCATTTTTTCATGAGAGACAGAGTGAGAGGCAGGGACACTGGCAGAGGGAGAAGCAGGCCCAATGCAAGGACCCTGATGTGGGACTCAATCCTGGGACTCGAGGATCACACCCTGGGCCGAAGGCAGGCGCCAAACTGCTGAGCCACCCAGGGATCCCCAGCCCATACTCATCTGTGTGTGACCTTGGGCTTGAAGCCTGGCCTCTGTCAGCCTGTTTCTTCATCTGGAAAATGTGAAAGCTCCACTAATCTTTCAAAGTCTCTGAGGACCCAGTGTCATACTACTATCATCATTGTTATTGCCCTCACCTGTCCAGGTAGAGCAGAGCCAAAAACTCAACACATTTCTTTTCTGCCTTCAGCCTTTTTTTTTAATTAATTAATTTATTTATTTATGATAGTCACAGCGAGAGAGAGAGAGGCAGAGACACAGGCAGAGGGAGAAGCAGGCTCCATGCATCGGGAGCCCGATGTGGGATTCGATCCCAGGTCGCCAGGATCGTGCCCTGGGCCAAAGGCAGGTGCTAAACCGCTGCGCCACCCAGGGATCCCTCTGCCTTCAGCCTTATCTCCACTCTGTGAGGTCTGCTTCATAGGCATTATTCCTCTATTTTCTAGATAAGGAGACAGAGGCTCAAAGAGGGGCGGTCTTCAGGGGCCCACGGTGGAGAGAAACTTGCCCTTCCCTGCCA